ACTGCTAAGGTAATCACTGCATTAACACAACTGTTTTCCAGAGTTGGATTCCCGCAAGAGATCATCACTGATCAGGGCACTAATTTCACATCAAGACTGATGCAGTTACTGCACAAGCAGCTAGGCATCCATTCCATCCGCACAAGTCCCTACCATCCACAAACCGATGGATTAGTAGAGAGATTTAATCAAACCCTCAAAAGGATGTTGAGGAAATTTGTAGGTGACAACGGCAAAGACTGGGACAAGTGGCTTCCGTTCCTGCTATATGCATACCGAGAGGTCCCACAGGCATCCACAGGCTTTTCGCCTTTTGAACTCCCGTACGGATGGCAGGTGCAAGGTCCTCTCGATCTGGTGAAGAGGAGTTGGGAAGCATCAAGCACTACAGCCGAAGGAGAAACTAACATTGTAAAGTTTGTATTACAGATGAGAGACAGACTTGAGAAGTACCGAGAGCAAGCTCAGGAGAATCTGGAGGAAGCTCAGAAGAACCAGAAGCTGTGGTACGACAAATGGTCTCGACGGAGAGAATACCAACCAGGACAAAAAGTGCTGTTACTATTACCATCTTCCACAAACAAGCTATTGGCAAAGTGGCAGGGTCCCTATGAGATCACTAAGAAGAAGGGTCCTGTTACCTATGAGGTGTTTCATCCAGATAAGGGGAAGAAAAATCAAACATACCACGTCAATCTTTTGAAGGAATGGCGGGAGCCAGGACCTGAGTGGAAGAAAGGTATGTTGGCCTGTAAGGTGGAGACACCTGAAGCAGAAGATGACGACAAGGTGGACTTTGAAACCCCAGAACACTTGCAGTCAGCGATAAGCCTGGAACATCTGCAAGAGAGGCAAAGAGTGGAACTGACAGAAGTGTTAAACACCTACCCAGAATTACAGAGAGGAAGACCTGGAAGAACAAACTTGGTGGAGCACAAAATATGTCTAACGGAAGCAACACCTATTCGTCAAAGGCCATATAGAGTGCCTGAAAGCCTGATTAAACCCTTGAAGGAAGAGCTGAAGATGATGTTGGAAATGGACATCATAGAACCATCGACTAGTGCTTGGAGTAGTCCAATAGTCATTGTACCTAAGAAGGATGGTACGCTGAGAGTATGCCTGGACTTCAGGAAGTTAAATGCGGTGTCCAAGTTTGACGCTTACCCGATGCCACGCATCGATGAACTGGTCGAGAGGATTGGGAGAGCCAAATACATCACTACTTTGGACCTCTGTAAAGGATACTGGCAGGTACCCTTGGAGAAGACGAGCAGGGAGTATACTGCATTTAGGACACCAGTGGGGCTATACCATTTTAAGACCATGCCCTTTGGTCTTCATGGAGCTCCCGCAACGTTCCAAAGACTCATGAATCAGGTATTAAGAAACTGTGAGGAGTACAGTGCCGCATACCTGGATGACGTAGTCATTTATAGTACTACCCGGACCGATCATGTACACCATCTGCACAAGATTCTGCAGAAGATACAGAGAGCTGGTTTGACACTGAACGTCGCCAAGTGCGAGTGGGCCAGACAAGAAACGAGGTATCTTGGGTTCCAGCTGGGGAATGGAGAGATACGACCACAAGTGGACAAAGTGGAGGCACTCCGCAACTGTCCTAGACCTCGTACCAAGAAGGAGGTACGATCCTTTCTCGGACTGGTGGGATGGTATCGGAGATTCATTCCTCAATTCTCTAAAAAAGCAGCACCCTTGACGAATTTGACGGCTAAAGCCATAAAGAATCCGGTTCCGTGGACCGAAGAATGTGAGAAGGCTTTCATTACCTTGAAAGAAAGAATGTGTACTGTACCTGTTTTACGAAGCCCAGACTTTACAAAGAAGTTCTTGGTACAGGTGGATGCCTCAGCGAGAGGAATTGGAGCAGTGCTTATGCAGGAGGATGAAGGTCAGGAACACCCCATCCTATACCTGAGTAGAAAGCTGTTGCCACGAGAGACCAGGTATGCCACCATTGAAAAAGAAGGATTGGCTATAAAGTGGGCACTGGACAGTTTGAGATACTACCTGATGGGTAGAGAGTTTACCCTAGAAACGGATCATAGAGCCTTAACCTGGATCAATACAATGAAAGACCAGAATGCCAGAGTGACCAGATGGTACCTGTCACTGCAGCCTTTCAAGTTTAATGTAAGATACAAGGCGGGAAAGAGCAATGTCACAGCAGATTACCTGTCACGATTGCCTGACGTCAGCAATCTAGGAGAGGTGGGAGGTAATGTGACAAAGGAGTTTGTCACTGGCCTGCGGCAGAGCTGTACACCCACATATTCACGCACACACACATAACTTACCTTCACTCCACCAGCCGATCGATCGGGTGCACACGGGAGATTGCGCTGTAATAAAAACACATACACGCACAAACACATTATATACTCCATTAATCCTTGCATATTCTGACACGCCATAAATCACACCGCATACATTTGTCTTACCTGTGTGTCCGCTTGTGTTTGTGTTTGTTCGTCTCGTTGCGTTTCTCTTGCGTCTCTCTTCCGGGTTGCGCAATCGCGGCTACGGGAGGCAAAAGGGGCCAAAAAGGTCATGCGCAGCATTTTATGCACAGTGATGCGCTGCGCATGCGCTGAGTGGTTGGGCACCCGGGGGAGACTATGTGTTTTATGTGGGGGATGAAAAGAATGGGAAAACAATGAAAAAAGCAGTATTCATGACATGTGAAAATGCTGATTTAATAATTTTGGTTTTAAGTTATATAGTAATACAAATGAAGTGTATGAAAGTGTGAAATGATTACCTGAAAGATTGTTTATGTCCATACTTACCTTATACTTACCTTCAATATAGTTTAATCCAAACTGGGCGGAGTCACTCACTATAAATAGAGTGACTTGTGCTCAGTTCAGTGTGGGAGTCGTTGGAGATAGAAGGTGTGAGTAGTGGCGAATGGTTGGTTTGATAATTCTGGATAGAAAATATTTTGTATATAATTATTTTGTTACTTTATTGTCTTTATTTGTTTGTTTTGTTGTTTGTTTATTTTTGTATATATATATAATTTTTATTTTTTTTTGTCTACTTTATTTTTTTGGATTTTTGGATTGGACACTTTTGCACTGTAAACAAACGCACCTTGCACCATAGTGCTACGTCGACTGAGCCATCATTTATTTTTTTCTTGTTTCACACACACCCTAAAAACGCCTCTGTGTGACAATCATATACCACCCCCTTTCCAGTTGTACACATTTGTTGCTCTGCAAAGCTCAGTTCCACGTGAAAATGACTAAAAGCATGTGCTGTAATGTAACTTTTGCAGCACGGGATGCGCATCATTCCTATTTTTAAAAGTGTGTAAGTGCACATGCTCTGTGTGTGCTGCGCTTAGCCTAGGACAGGCTCGGAGACAAGCAGAGAACACAAATCTAACGCCATCTTAATGTGAGCGCTTTAATGGTCAAATACATACAAATTTGTGTGGTGTTTAGTGATTATTCATATTAACCCTCATTTGTATAATAAACAAACAAGTTGAGAATCAAGACATGTGAAAGAGAAACCATATCAGAGCCGCACTATTCTTAAAGTGACAGTGCGCAATATTCCTGCTGCCAACTGTTTTTATCATTATTCAAACAACAAAAGGAGAAAATCCCTCACTGCTCTTGAATGAAAGACTTTTGTAGCTCAAATGTTTTTCTGAAACCGAAAACTCTGAGTATTTAATCTCTCTGTAAATCAACTCAGAGTTCAAGATTAAACTCTGAGTTGGTTGAACCTCCTTACTGAAACAGGCCCCAGGTCATCATAAAATGATTGACAATTGTCGCTGTTTGTCATTATACTCTGTTTATCCTTAGAGCTGATGCTGAGTATTCTTAGAGCTTTTCACACTTGAAATTGTTAACCCTGGGTCATTCTAACCCTGGATAAATTCTGGGTTATCTGTAGTCACCTTCCACACTGCTCATGCTATACCTGGGGTTAAAAAATAATCCTGGGTGTTCATTAACAGACAGTTCACATTTGTAAACCCTGGGTTATCATTATTATTTTGTATATTTACATTGTCACTGTCCCTGATTGGACGAATCGCAAGTAACCTTTTTAGATGGCATTTCTGCATCTTGTCGGGTATATACAATGTCACCAAGTAGGTCTTCAGCTAAGCCTCAGGACATGCACAAAGACAAAAGTACAAATAAATGAAAACAAGTAACAAAGTATGTCATCTTGCCATCTCCTCATCACTCCTGTTTAAAGCAAACGTGGCATTAAGCATTTGCATACGTTTTATACAACAATGCAAACTTGCAAATATAAGCAAAATTATGCATACCTGCTATGGACATGCAGGATTTGTCTCAATCGGGTCTTCCAAGCAAGAGGAAACGCAACACGAGTAATCTAGAGCGAGTGCATTTGATTATTTGCATTTAAAGCCACAGGCACAAAAAGAGCTTGGTTTTCCTCTGATCCCCAAAAATAAATATTCTACAAGGTATATGACCTGATTTTGAGCTGAAACCTCAGAAACATTCTGGGAACACTAAAGACTTATTTTACATCTTGTAAAAAATGGGTAATTGTAGGAACCTTTTAAAGGGATAGTTGATGCAGAAATGAAAATAGCCTCACCATTTACTCTGCCTCATGTGGATTTAAACCTTTATGAGTTTCTTGATCCTGTTAAGCACAAAAGAAGATATTTTAAAAAACGCTACTGGCTCACTGTGTTCCACAATAAAGGAAAGTTTAACACCACATGACGGAGAGTAAATGGTAAGGTCATTTTAATATTTGGGTGAAAAAGTCGCTTGAGGTGTCGCTTTGAGCCTTCATACTAAAGCTAACTTTTTTTTTTTTTTTTTAGATCTGATGGTGCTGAAAGAAGAGACTCATCAACAGAATGAAATAGATGAGAAACAGCAGTTTGAGAAACCCCAAGAAATAACGACTGATGAAAAACCCACACTGACTAAAAAGACTTCATCAAACGAAAGTAATTTTAGCTGTAAACAGTGTGGAAAGAGTTTCAGTCAAAAGTCAAACCTTGATGTTCACATGAGAGTTCACACAGGGGAGAAACCTTACACCTGCGAACAGTGTGGAAAGAGTTTTAGTCAAATACAAGGCTTTAAAGCTCACATGAGAATTCACACTAGAGAGAGGAAGTTCACATGCCAAGAGTGTGGAAAAAGCTTTTATCATGTTGGAAACTTTGCAGCACACATGAGAATTCACACTGGAGAGAAGCCTTTCAGCTGTAAGCAGTGTGGAAAGAGTTTCAGTCAAAAGCCAAACCTTTATGTTCACATGAGGGCTCACACAGGGGAGAAACCTTACACCTGTGAACAGTGTGGACAGAGTTTTAGTCAAAAACAAAGCTTTAAATCCCACATGAGAATTCATTCTGGAGAGAGGCCGTACACATGCCAACAGTGTGGAAAAAGCTTCCGTCATGCAAGAAACCTGGCAGAGCACATGAGAATTCACACTGGAGAGAAGCCTTTCAGCTGTAAACAGTGTAGAAAGAGTTTCAGTAAAAAGCTGCACCTGATTGCTCACATGAGAGTTCACACTAGGGAGAAACCCTACACCTGCGAACAGTGTGGAACGAGTTTAGGTAAAAAAGAAGACCTTTACATCCACATGAGGATTCACACTGGAGAGAAACCGTACACATGCACAGAGTGTGGTAAAAGTTTCCCACATAAAAGCTCACTCAAACACCACATGATAAGTCACACTGGAGAGAAGCCGTTTAAATGTGCTCAGTGTGGAAAGAGCTTCACAACTAAAGCTAGCCTCAAGAACCACATGAATGGTCACACTGGAAAAACAGTGTTCACATGTGATCAGTGTGGAAAGAGTCTCACACGCAAAGACTCCATTAAGAACCATATGAAGATTCACTCAGGAGAGGATCGTTTTAGATGCAGTGAGTGTGGAAAGGGCTTTAATTGTAAAAGAATCCTCAGCACTCACCTAAAGCTTCACAATGGATAACAGAGTCAGCAAAATTGAGGCCTTGTCCACACAAACACGGGTATATTCAAAACGGCAGCTTTTTCATGTAGTTTGGCTGTTCATTCAAGTGAAGTTTATTTATAAACTACTTTCGAGAGGATCACATGCTTAGCAAAAACATGATTCACAAATTAGATCATCCTTTGTTATAAAGCAGTGTCTCACAGACAGTACTTTGTTTAACTTACTTGAAGACAGACAAGTTAACATCACAGCTGAGGAACTGCACTATTCATTGTCTTCAGTAAAGTCTTCTCCATGTAAGAACTTTGGTCAGCTTACTTATTTTATGTATTAAGAGTCATCTATACATTGGCGAGCCACCCAAGAATGGTTAAGCCAAATACAGCAAAATCTAACAATGTGTTTCAACTTATTATGAACTGATCACCATATTTGTGCAGGGTTCCACACAATTCTTTCATGTTGTCTTAACACAAATTAAGGTAACTTAACACTTTTACCAAATTATTTGGACTGAACATTAAGTTGTCCCAATGAAATCTCAAGAATTGTGTTATTTCAGCACATTTTAATTGAGTAGTTTGAACAAATAAAAAAAAGGTTGTTTTTTTCCCCCGATTTTTGTTTAATGGAGATAAGATTTTTTCAGCAAATTTTTAATTATTATAGTTTTAATAACTCATCTCTAATAACTAATTTATTTTATGTTTGCCATGACAGTAAATTAGACAAGTAATTGTATAAGGATGGTTTGTTCTGTAGACTATCGAATAAAAATAGCTTAAAAGGGCTAATAGTTTTGTCTTTAAAATGGTTTAAAAAAGAATAAAAAACTGATTTTATTCTAGCTGAAATAAAACAAATAATACTTTCTCCAGAAGAAAAAAATATTATCACTCATACTGTGAAGAATTTCTTGCTATGTTTTACATAATTTATGAAATATAAAAAAAACATGAGGGGCTCTCTCTCTCTCTCTCTCTCTCTCTCTCTCTCTCTCTCTCTCTCTATATATATATATATATATAGGCTTTACATGCATAAACAAGGAAGAAGTAATACAATTACAACAATAGGATGACACAAATATAGGAAAAACAGTGTTTAGTAATGACAATTGTATTTACAGTAAGAAAAAAGTAAATAAATACAAATTAAATTAATAATAAAACAAAAAGAAATATATTATAAAAGTTTATGCAATATAAACATTCAAAGGGTACAGAATTTGGGTAAAGGGTACAGAATTTGCTGAAAAAAGTAGCTGCTTTATATATATATATATATATATATACACATACACACACACACACACAGTACTGTGCCCTGGTCAGTTGCCATTTCTGTGTGGAGTTTGCATGTTTTCCCAGTGTTCGCGTGGGTTTCCTCTGGGTTCTCCGGTTTTCCCCACAATCAAAAAACATGCAGTACAGGTGAATTGGGGAAGGTAAATTGTCTACTATATGAAAGAAAAAGAGAAAGGGGGTGTTAATAGGTTTAGATTTGGAGAAAGCTTTTGACAGGGTAGAGCATGATTTTTTATTTGCAGTTCTTAAGGTGTTTGGATTTGGGGAAAATTTTAGAAAATGGATTTAAATTTTTATACAGATATTTTAACTTGTATTAAATGTATTTTTTTTTTAACAGAATGTCTTCAACCAACTAGATCAATAAGGCAAGGATGTCCATTGTCTGCTTTATTATACACACTGGTAGCTGAGCCACTGGGATTGGCAATAAAAATCAGATAGAAGCATTAAAGGGATACAAATAGAAAACAATGACAACAGAGAAGCTGTGTATCAATACGCTGATGATACTACATCGTTGGGGATTTTAGAGCGATATTGTAAAGCATCAGGAGCTAAGGTTAATGTTGGAAAAAGTTTGAGCATGAGGGTGGGAAGAGTAAATTAAATAACACAACATATACCCTTTAAAGAAGAAAAGGAGCATACAAAAATGTTGGAAATTTGGGTGGGGATGTATTGTAATAAAGCAGATATTTTAAATTGAGAGGGTGTTTTAAATGGAACTGAGAAAAGACTGAGATTTGGAAAGCTAGAAATTTTACGTTAAAAGGAAAAGTATTAATCTTAAATGTTTTAACGTTGTCAAAGGTCTGGTTTGTGTTAAGTGTAACTGTGTTGCCTGAAGTATACTATAAAAATTTAATGATGTAGTTTTAAAGTTTTGGTGGGGAAATGGAAGAGCCAAGATTGCTTATTAAACTTTGATTGGGGAGGTAAAAGAAGGAGGTCTGGGACTTTTGGATAGTTTTTTTAAAAATGAAAACATAAACAATTAAGATTATTCAAAGGTTTTTGGAAGGGAAAATGGATGTGATTTGGAAAAGTGTGTTGAATTATTATTTGAAGAAATGTGGACATTTTATTATGGAATGTAATGTTTTATGGATGAAGATGAAGAAACGGATGATAGCAGGTCTGCCAAAATTTTATGTTGAGGTCTTAGAATCATGGGGGGAATTTTTAGAAAATGTGTTGATTATACCAAAAGCAAGGGCGCAGATTCTAGAACAACCACTTTTACTGAATTCAACAATTTTAAGTGAAGGAAATATTTTATATTTTAAGGAATGGTGAGATAGGGGATTAAGACAAGTTAAAGATGTATTATATGAAGTGATAAAAGGATTTGTACCATTACAAGTAATTGTGGATGGGCATAGGTCCTAGGCCACATTCTGTCCAGCGTTACAAGATAAAATCAGGATTTAGCAGAAGATTGTCACAGGTAGGTATTACTGTAAACGGTGTCTAACTCTCGAAAGGACTCCTTATCACCTCAGCTAGCTTAGTCGGTAGAGCATGAGACTCTTAATCTCAGGGTCGTGGGTACGAGCCCCACGATGGGTGTTTCTGTTGCCTCTCTCTCTCTCTCAGCAAACTTTCATTAGGGTTCATAGAGCAGACCTTTTGAAACAAAGTTCCGCCTTTCTGCCACTGTAGGTGACCTCTTGCTAAGTCTCTGTGGCGCAATCGGTTAGTGCGGTCGCATGTTAACTGAAAGGTTGGTGGTTCAAGCCCACCCAGGGACGAATTAGGCATTTTGCTGCCTTGCAACTGCTAACACGTGCACTGGGCATATATCCTGGGCCACATTCTGTCCAGCATTACAAGATGAAATCAGGATTTAGCAGAAGATTGTCACGGGTAGGGAAGGTATTACTGAAGATGGTGTCTAGCTCTTGCAAGAGCTTCTCGTCAGTCTGGCTAGCCCAGTCGGTAGAGCATGAGACTCTTAATCTCAGGCTCGTGGGTTCGAGCCCCACGTTGGGCATTTCTGTTACTTTTCTCTCTCTCTCTCAGCAAACTTACATTAGGGTTCATATAGCAGACCTTTTGAGACAAAGTTCCGCCTTTCTAACACTGTAGGTGACCTCTTACTAAGTCTCTGTGGCGCAATCGGTTAGCGCGTTCGGCTGTTAACTGAAAAGTTGGTGATTCAAGCCCACCCAGGGATGAATTAGGCATTTTGCTGCCTTGCAACTGCTAACACGTGCACTGGGCATATATCCTGGGCCACATTCTGTCCAGCGTTACAAGATGAAATCAGGATTTAGCAGAAGATTGTCATGGGTAGGGAAGCTATAACTGTAAACGGTGTCTAGCTCTTGAAAGAGCTTCTCATCAGCCTGGCTAGCTCAGTCGGTAGAGCATGAGAATCTTAATCTCAGGGGTGTGGGTTAGATCCCCATGTTGGGCATTTCTGTTGCCTCTTTGTCTCTCTCTCTCAGCAAACTTTTAAAAGGGTTCATATAGCAGACCTTTTGAGACAAAGTTCTGCCTTTCTACCATTGTAGGTGACTTTTCACGGGTAGGGAAGGTATTACTGTAAACGGTGTCTAGCTCTTGAAAGAGCTCCATATCAGCATGGCTAGCTCAGTCTACAGAGCATGAGACTCTTAATCTCAGGATCGTGGGTTCGAGCCTGTTGTAAATGAGGGCGATGCCAACCCTCTTGTGCACCACCAGAGGGAACCATCGCCAGAATTCTGATTCGACTCACGGACTCAAAATCCCATAAGCCCTGCTACCTGGCACTGATTACGGTCCAGGTGCAACTCATCAGCTCTCGTGTATATATACCACACTCACGCTCCGGTTCGTTGCGAAGTCTTGATTTGCCTGGCTGTCATTTCTGAGCGTTCCATACTCCCTGCTTCGGACTGATCTGTGTTTCTGACCCTGTGCTTGTTCTACGATTACGAAAGACATCTGCCTGCCCCTGATCTCCAGCCTGTTATTCTGACCAGTAAGATATCTGCCTGCCTTTGAACTTTTGCCTGTCCCACGTTCTGTCTCCTGGATTGCCCCTTTGTGTTTGTTTGTATGTGTGCTCTTAATAAAGTTTGCAAATGGATTCAATGCCTTCTGACTCATCACAACAGAAGACTTCGCCACTACAGAATCCAGCAGCTTTAGCACAAGTCTCGACTGAACTTTCCGCTCAAGCCACTCAGTTAGCCACCCATCATCAACAACTCACCCATCTAACTTCTCTCACGGAGGAACTGGT